ATTTGGATTAGGGAGTGACATTGCTGGAAGGATTTGGATTGGGGAATAAACCGTGGGGTTTGCCTGCCCACCTTTGGGGCGGGTACTGATGGTTCTAAGTCCTGATGCAGGTGGGCTCTGGCTCACCTTGCTCTGGATCTGAAACCAGATTTTTTGTTACCCCTATTTCCCAGCTGAAACCTGCTGTTAGGTCTTCCTGAGTCAGAGAACAAGCCTATCACAAATTGCTTGTTTTATTCCACTTTAGGTGCAAAGCTGAAACCAGAGCAGTCATTAGTTGGGAACAAATACTTCATGTACTCGTGACTAAAAGTTTAACCCTCTGAACACTGTGAAATGCAGACAACCTGAAGCCACTTGCTGGTGGTGCGCTGTGACATTTAACAATTAAAGAACACAACGGAAAGAAATGTGGTTTTTTGTCATGATTATTTTAATCCCTGGAAGCCGTGGCACCGAGCTGCTGCATTTCAGCACAGGGAGCTGATCTCTGTCCTGCTGCAGCCCACGTTGCAGCAGGACGTGGCCAGCAGCTCGGCCTCCTCGCGCCTGTTGAGCACAGAAACTTTGCTGCTGGTCTGGAATTGTTGCTCAGGTTTGACGTCCAGGGGCTCTCTGTGGATCCCCAGCCTCGGCTCTGGGGGTGAGGAGAAGTCAGCATCACCCTCATCCTCACGCAGGAAACGCTGGGGGTCTGCACCCTCTGTGGCAGGAAAAGGAGAAGTGAAGAGTCAGGGCAGGATGAGACATTTTTATCTTTCCTAGGAAGACACCAAAGGACAGGGGGAGCTGAGCTGCCCTCTGCCACGAGCACCACATCACCAGCTCCTCACCGAGGAGCCACCCGTGATCAGCAAGGTGAAACCAAGGAATTCAGGGATTTCTATGGAAAAATTCCTGTGGTGCCTTGAGTCTCACACTGCTAAATTTGCTTCTCCAGGAAAAGCTGTGATTTGATGTCTCAGAGGCTCCTGACCAGCACCTTCAGCTGGGCCTGGGGGGTTCCTGAGTTGCAGGTGCTGCATTAAGGCTCCAGCTGCCCCAGAATTTCGGGTGTTCCCACGGAAATCACAGCCCAGCTGCAGCTGAAGCACCTCAGGACAGCTGGTCTGTAAAGCTGTAGCAGCTCTCACTTTTTAAAAGCAAGGTTCTTCAGCAGATTTTGGGGAGGGGGTTGCCCACGTTACCACTTTTGTATTTGTTTAAATCTTCTGCTACAAGAGAATTTTCCAAAATTGCAGATGTAGGAAGTGCAGAAAGCCTCTTGCTGGCATCTACCTCTGTTATTTTCTTGTTCTCTATTTATTTTAATCAGGGTACAGATTTCTAGCTGTGCATGTTAACAGTCGAATTTTCTGAAAACCAAATCAAAATTTTCTGAGTACCAAGAAATGTTCTAGTAAGTATAAATACACACAAAAACATGTGAAGGTGCTTAAATTGCAGAGCAGCTATTCAGCATGCTTTAATTACAAAGTTTTATAAAGTTTCTGGTTTCTAGTGGGCAAAGTGAAGACCACAGGATGGCACTTGCAGTGACATCAGCAAAAAATCAGCACTGACTTCAGCAAAACTTGTCACTGAAATGAGACGGCAGAGAGATTTTCAGGGACAGCCTTGCCTTGGATCCTGTTCCTCAGGGGAGCTTGGAAAATCTTGGTTGGAATTATTTTTCTTTAGCAAAATAGCCCAGGAAGGTGAGCCAGGCAAACTGCAAGGAGAGGGAACACGAGCACAGCCCGTGCTGGGGGGCTGGAGCTGCAGGGATTTTGGGGGGCTGGAGCTGCAGGGATTTTGGGGGGCAGGCGCAGGGGCTGCAGGGATTTTGGGGGGCAGGCGCTGGGCTGTACTCACCCCGCAGGTCGCGGTGCCTCCTCCAGCGCGAGCCGCCGCAGG